CTGTACCTTTAGAATGCAAAGATGAAGACTGTCACAAGGTTTTTGTTTTGTTTTGTTTTGTTTTTTGTACCAGGGATTGAACTCTGGGGCACTCAACCACTGAGCCATATCCCCAGCCCTATTTTGTATTTTTTTTAGAGACAGGGTCTCACCGAGTTTCTAAGCACCTCACCAGTGCTGAGGCTGGCTTTGAACTAGCGATCCTCTGGTCTCAGCCTCCCAAGACACTGGGTTTACAGGTGTACACCACCAGGCCGGGCACAAGGTAACATTTTTTTTTTTTTAAAGTCTTTTTTTTTTTTTCTTTTTAAAGAGAGAGAGAATTTTTAATATTTATTTTTTTTAGTTTTCAGCGGACACAACATCTTTGTTTGTATGTGGTGCTGAGGATCGAACCCGGGCCGCATGCATGCCAGGTGAGCGCGCTACCGTTTGAGCCACATCCCCAGCCCCATAAGGTAACATTTTTAAAAGTTACTTCATGTGTTTTTATAGACATCAGAAAAAAAAATTTTTTTAAAGAGATGTCTGGCTGTGTTACCCAGGCTGGTCTTGAACTCATGGGCTCAAGATCCTCCAGTCTCAGTCTCCAGAGTAGCTGGGATTATAGGCATTCACCACTGCACCAGGCAAAGGTTTTCTTTTGTTTGGGGTTTTCTTTTGGTGCAGTGGATCAAACCCAGGGACTCCTGCATGCTAAGCACCCACTTTACCACTGAGCTACACCCCCAGCTCTTAAAAGAATTTTAAGTTATGGTAAAATGTAAGAAAATCTACCATCTTAGCCATTTTTAAGTGCACAGTAGGTGGCATTAAGTAGATTCACATTGTGCCAGGATGGTGATGCACATCTGTATTCCAAGTGCCTTAGGAGGCCAAGACAGGAGGATCTCAAGTTTGAAGCCAGTCTCTGTGCAACTTAGCAAGACCCTGTCTCAAAAATAAGGGCTAGGGATGTAGCTCAGTGGTAGAGCACCCATGAGTTTAATCCCCAGTACCAGACACAAAAAGGAAAAAAATATGTATATTCACATTGTTGTTTAACCATCACTACCATCCAGCTTCAGAATTTTTTTCATCTTTATTTTTGTGTGTGTGTGTTCTATAAGTGATTGGAGCTTTATCACTAAAGTACATCTACACCCCAAGTTTTTTTTTTTGTTGTTGTTGTTTGGTATGGGAAGGGCATGAGGCCTTTTACAAGGTCCTTTATCTTATTCACCAGAAAGAAGCCCTTAAGACCTAATAACCTCCCAAGGCCCCATCTCTTCATATTGTTGCACTGGAGATTGTTTCAACATGAATTTTGGAGGGACACACATTAAAACCATAGCACTACATTCTTACAAGGAAATCTTTCTTCTGAGGGACCTTCTCAAGTCCTCTACCCTGTTGTCAAATCTTCAATCCTTGTCACATTCTAGATACCTAGGAATCCTCACCCCCAGCTCAGGCATCCTGTGCCAAGGCTACTCTAATTATGTGGAGTTCACATTTAGTTCAGGTTTATTCTCTACTAGGGAGGTCCAAAGTCAGTAGCCAATTTGGATGAACACTTTGTATTGCCCTATCGGTCCTGGCAATTATGATCTGGATTTTTTGCCCACTGACCTAAGTTATGCTTCAAGGGATCTGTCATCTCTTACTGAAACTTGCCCTTTGAATGTCCTTTGCACACATTTTCGTTAGGGAAGAACCAAGTTTTATGTTTTTGGTACCAGGAATTGAAACCAAGGGTGTTTACCCACTGAGCCTCATTCCCAGCCCTTTTTATGTTTTGATACAGGGTCTCCCTAAGTTGCTGAAGCTGGCTTTGAACTTGCAATCCTTCTGCCTCAGCCTCCTGAGTCACTGGGATCACAGGCATGCAGCATCCTTCCCAGCAAGAACAAAGATTTTGTTGGGAGATCTTTACCTTGGAGGATCTCATTCCTACTACTCTAGAATGACCCACGACTCCAGTGCTATTTCCTTTTGCTGAGCACAATCACATCAGGCAGGTCAAGTTCGGGCTAAAGATGTTATCTGCACAGGTGTTCAAGGTTACAATCATGCCCTATGCAAGCCACATCTGAACACTGGGCCTGGTTCTTTCTGCATGGAAAGACCCAGCTCTTTGCCTGTGTCTGCCTTTCTTTCCATGCTTCCAACTAGACATACAACTCTTTCCACTTCAAAAGAAATGTGTGGTTCTAAGTAGATGAAAGGTTGCAGAAAGCAATCAAATCTTACTTCTGGGTGAAGTTACTTCTGGTTCTAGGTTTGATTAAAACCGTAAGCCTCAGTGCTGGAGCTCCATGATTAAGGGTTGTTGCTTGCTTTAAAACAGTAGGCCTAGGGCTGGGGTTGTGGTAGTGGTAGAGCGCCCATCTATCATGTGTGAGGCACCGGGTTCAATCCTCAGCACCACATAAAAATGAAACATATTGTATCCCACTTACAACTAAAAAATTAAAAAACAAAACAGTAGGCCCATTTACAAACCTTGTGCTCTCAAGAATCAACTGGATGCTTATTCAAAATGCAAATTCTAGCCTGGTACAATGGTGTATGCCTACAATCCCACTGGCTCAGCACCTCACTGAGGCCTGGTTGGGCAATTTAGTGAGACCTCAACTCAAAAATAAAAAGGTTTGGCATGTAGCTCAGTGGCATAGCACCCCTGGGTTTTTAATCACCAGTATCCCTCTATCAACAATAACATTCTTTGGTGTGGTCTCTTGCTCCCAGAGACCTCTTCAAAGGTTGTACCCTATGCACTAAAACAGGCTTTTGTTTCTTGCTACTGTTGCAGCATCAGACTTAGGACAGCTGTGGCTCTGCTCCAGACATCATTGCAACACCCAGACCAAAGGAGAATCCCTATTTAGGATAAGACAGAAACCCATACTTCCAACTAGGAACTCTGATGATCCCTGAACCACTTTTTTTTTTTTTTTTTTGGACATTGAACCCAGGAGGGCTTTACCACTGAGCTAGATCCCTGGCCATTTTTGTTTAGAGACAAATTGCTGGGGCTGGCCTCAAACTTGGAATTCTCCTGCCTCAGACTCGACTGCTGGAATTACAGGCATGTGTCACCATGCCAGGCTCTGGACCATATCTTGAACAATGCTGCCTTATTATTTTAAAAGGCTAGTGTATAACATAATTCCTGTCAAGACAAATAATTTCACTGCACATCTAAGACCTCCAAAGATAATATCCTTTATTCTGCTAATTTCCTAGGGGTTCACAGATTCTCTCCTATCATTTCATTACAAATCATATACTAGCAAATAACACTTGCCGTAATTGCTTAGCAACCTTTACCAATATGGTTATAACTCCTATTCGTGGAGCTCTTCTGTGTACGAGGCACTATGCTAAGCACTTCACATTTGTTACCTTAGTTCTTCCATCAGGTTATGGACAGGATTCCACGAGCTATGGCCTGACATTGGCACAAAGATTCTGGCAAACCCACAAAAACTTGGCCTTGTCACTCTTTGAGATTTCAGATGGCTCCTGGCAGGCCCCCAGTGACTTTGAGGACCCTAAAGCAAATTTTCTAATCATACTGATTTTTACTACACCACAAATATTTTCTCCCACATCTGACATTTATATTTCAACCTGATGTTTCTCATAGCACAGAAACTCAATTTTGTGTGTCTGGTAAGATGTTTTTCTTTTTGGTTTCATGTTTTCAAAAGACCTTCCTACATCAGTTATAAAAATATATTTTCTTATTTTGTTTTTTTCCCCCTCTCAAACTAATTTTTGTGGAAACTGAGGTAGAGATCTTACTCTAATAAGTCATCTCAAAGTATTATTTATTAAATAATCCATCTTTTCCCCCATTTAAAATACTCCCATTTAAAAAAAAAAAAATTTACCATATACTAAATCCCTATGTACCCAGGACTGTTTCTGGATTCTCCATACTGTCCCATCTGTCTGACCCAGTCTGTTATACTAATTAAATTCATGCTAGCCAGAGTCCTTTGGGAAATCTGGTAGGACAAGTGCCTTTTACCCACCTCAGTACCATCACTGGACTCATCGCCATTCGGAGATACCTTGATATTCTCATGCCTTTACTCTTCCAAATGAACTTCAGAAGCTACTGAATTTCAAAAAGTATCCAATCTCATTGGAATTACATTGAATTGAGCCGATTTAGGGAGAACCAAAATCTTTACAGGAACATGTTTAGTACTGGCTCAATTTACAGAATGCACTTCCTAGGTCTTCAGCCAATTCTGCTGGATTTCATAGGCAGGCTGCTTTAGGGTCTATAGATGATGGCAATTATAACCCTTCCTTACCTCCTTCACTTGACTTGTTGCAGGGGTAAGTAATGCCAGACACTGCTAAACCACAGCACCCCTGGCTAGTTTCTTACCCTCATTGGGAATGCTTATGGTGTTTGACTCTTCAGAGTGCCATTAACTGTTTCTGACATGGACCTTTTCTAGATTAGTAAGTTTCTTTCTTAGAATTTTAAGAAGGGGTGGATTTTATTTTTGTGGTGCTGGGGATCAAACCCAGAGCCTCATGCTTGCTAGGCAAACACTCTACTCACGAAGCCATATCCCCAGCCCTAGGGGGGGGGGATTTTAAATTTTATCAAATATCTCTTCAGCATCTATAGAGACTATTATAAATTTTTCTCTATTATTTGAAGCTGAAATGAAGACTCATGAGCAGTCCTACCACTTCCTAATTTAGTCTACATATCCCTCATCCCCCGTGTCAAGAATTGAATACTGTAAAAGGATGGGCCAAAGGTGAGGCTTCGAGGCCTGCTAGGCATGGCACCGAAAGTCGTCTCAAGTTGCCCAAGCATGGAGGGTCTTGGAGGTTTCACTTTCTTTCCAGGACCAAACCCCTCATGATAGAAAGTTCTTGGGGGCAGTAGTGCAGAGAGTAAAGGGAACAAACCAGAGTCAGGTAGGGTGGAGAACCCCCGCTAAGCCCCAGCCACCAATCCCATTAATCAACACACAGACAAACTGCCCAATTTGAGATGGGGGTTTTGGTATCTGAAATGTTCTATGCCCTCTGGCCATAAGTCTCTAGTGAGTCCTTCCTGCCATCCTGCAGCCCCCACCAGGATGTGCAGGCCCAGTGGCATTTAGGGTAGAGCCATCACAGAAAGCAGAAAAGCCTTCAGGCCCTTAGGAGAAACTGCGATTCCTTCTACTCCTCCACCCCACCACTAACTGTGGGTCCCCATCCTTCTCTTCCCACTGATCCTGCTCCTTATACCAGGATACATGGTCTCTTCTTCACCACAGGATTCCCCTAGAGTAAGCTCTCATCTGTAGTCACCCGACACTGGGCCTTACCCACTTAGCTTCCCTGACCTCCTGTCTGTCCCCACTCCTCCCACATCCCACTTTGGGAAAAGGATGGGTACTTGAGCTTGTGCCCAAGCATGTGGCCACTCAACCCAGAGCAGAGTCTGGTACCATCAACCCCGATCAATGGCTTCCTCTCCCTCATCTCACCAGCATCTGCCCTACCTGCCCACCACTGGGCATTGCCCTAAATACAGAAGCAACAATAAACAAGATGAGGGGAGAGCCCAGTCTGTCAGGTTTTAGAGGCAGATTGGATGGGATACCCAGTGTGGCTTGTCCAACCCATTCTCAGTGTTAAGAGGCAGTCTTTGTGGATGAGCTTTTTCTTCAGGCCACAAGAAGCCTTAACCCAAGCGGAGGCGAAAGGTGGCGATCTCCATGGGTTCCAGATAGATGTCAGTGCTGTTGGAGGGTGAGGCTAGAGGGTACAATAGTGTCAAGGAGGTTGGCTGTAGGAATCCCACATCCAGGCCATGGAAAAGGCTACCTAGGGCTACCTGTGGAGAGAGAAGACACCGGGCTGTGCTAGATACTCCTAAACAGAAACACTTGTCATCTACATCACTAGTGTTAACTCTTTAGCAATCTGACAGAGTAACTCAGTATTAGAGTACTTGCCCACCATGTGCAAAACCCTAGTTTCAGCACTTCAAAAAAAAAAAAAAAGCAACAAGGCTTCATACATATATACATTGGTATCCAACCTCCAGGGCTCACTGAGATTTGCTCAACCCCAAAGCCCATCTGTGGATCTCAGGGTGGGAACCATTTCACTGAGATGCAACCACTTTGAGGACAGTGACTAATCTCCTAAATCACCAGTGGCTTGCAAAGAGTCTGGCATATGAGGGCATTTAATGCCAACTGAAACCACAAATACAGCTCACAAAGGACCAGCATCATGGATTTAGTTTTACATGCCTGGTGTTACCTGTTCCTCAGGGAACAGAAGTTCTCTAGCTCCATGCCATGTCTGGAGCTGCCCCTACCAAGGCCTCAGTTACTGAAAACATGTGTCAATGGCTTCCTCCTTTCTCTATGGAAAGCCTTGAAATGAGTGACACTTTCTTCTTTCATCCTGCTGTCCAACCCCAGTCCTCTCCCCATAAGCTCTTGCTCTTATATTCCCAGTGCCTCAGCTTCCCTGCCTCCCCACATCAGGTGTTTCACCTTCCATCCCTGGGGCCCACTCACCTTGCCCTGGCTTGTGGTACAGTTGAAGCCCAAGTTCTTGGCCTCAAGGCTGCAGTCAAAACCCTTGCGGTGTAAGATAAATGCAGTGTCTGCTGAGGGCAAGTTATCTTCCTGGACAACAGGAGGAAAGACAATGACTGACAGGGCTCTGCAGAATTCAGAAAGGCAGCAATACCCTGCCCAAAAGGCAAGTGCTGGGAACAGGGAGTGAGGGGGACCAGAATTTGGTCCTGGAGGTTCTGAGCCCAAAGGGACACTCACCTCGCCTGGAAGCGTACGTAGGTTGAGCAAGTGGAAGTCACAGGGCAGTGCGGAAGCCAGAGGATGAAATGAGTGCAGACTGGAGCCTGGGAGCTGCCTCTTGGCTACGGGCAGGGCAAGCACAGGGGTATTCAGGTACATGGAGGTCAGGTGGCTGAGGAGGGATGGGTAGCTGGTAGAGCGGCCTTCTTGGACCTGCAAGATGGACCGGAGATATGAATGAGGGAGCAAAGCCAGGCTAATAGGTAAAGGTGAGGCAGAGTAACAGTACACCAGGCCAGTTCCTTTGGCAGGAGCTTTCCTGGTGTTGTCTGGATGCAGGCACTGCCTGGCTCCAGATCCTGCACCTTTAACTCTTCATTGTAACTACTTTCCATAATACCCAACTCAGAGGGCTATTTTACAGGCCACTTCTTCCCTACGTTTTATTATTATTTTATTATTACTCCAAAATATATCATGAGCAACATTCATCAGTGACACCTCCCATCAGAGATCCTCAGTGCAGGTGGGGAATGAAGACACTTCACCATGGAGCATGGGCCTTGGATGGACAAAGTGTTCTGAGCCATCCTGTGGTCTCCAATAACACACCATACCCACTGTGCCAGCTTGATGCCCAGGACAATGGTCCCCCATGGCTCTGCCAACTGAAGACGACTCCTTAAGATAGCTCCCCGACATGTCACACTCATGGATCTATGTGGAACTTTCCCTCAAAGCTGCTGCTTTTCTGTGTTCTGATTTCTGTCCCTATTACTACTCTCCTAGTTGCCCAGAATCTCACTTCCCTCTACTTTGATCTCCAGGGACAGGTGGTTACCAAACCCTCCTCCATTCCGCCTCTGCAGTATACCGTTAGCTACCCCAATTCCTTTCTCCCACCCATGGCCTGGTTCAAGTTCAACCCACCAACACTTCCTATTTGAACAACCTTCAAATTCTTACTCATGCCTGTCTTCCTACACACAAAGCCACCGGCTCCCTGCTGTTGGAATGATATGATGAGTAGAGTCCATGTAGTGTCCCTCCCTGCTCAGGTCTTTCCTTGGTGTCCAGATTCTTTGGCCAGACATTCATGGACTCTGCAGTCTGCCCCTACTATCCCACAATGCTGTATCCCAGCACTTGCCCACAGAGCTTTCTGTAATAATGGAAATGTACTGTAACTGCACTTAGCCAACTTGGGACCACTAATGATTTGAAATGTTGCCAGTATGAATGAAAAACTGAATTTTTAATTTCATTTTATTTGCATAGCCACATGTGGCTGGTAGCTACCATAATGGACAGTGCAGCTCCCACTCATATTCTTTCTTGCCTTCCACCCATTCCCTGGGGTGTGTGTGTTTGTGCTTTGATACTGGGGATTGAACCTAGGGGCACTGGATCACTGAATTACAATGATCCAGTGCCCCTAGGTTTTGATTTTTTAGTTTTTACTTATTTATTTTTGTATGTGGTGCTGGGGATTGAACCCAGGGCATTGTGCATGCAAGGCAAGCACCCTACCAACTGAGCCATATCCCAGCCCTTATTTTTTTTATTTTGAGACAGGGTCTCGCCAAGTTGGTTAGGGTCTCACTAAATTTTTAAGGCTGACTTTGAACTTGCAACACTCCAGTCTCAGCCTCTCAAGATGCTGGGATTACAGGCATGTGCCACCACGCCTGGTACCCAGTCATTTTTGAGAAAGCTTGCTAAGTTCCTGAGACTGGCCTCAAATTTGAGATTCTCCTGCCTCAGCCTCCTGAGTCACTAGGATTACACAAGTGTGCCACTGTGCCCAGCTCATGTGTTTATATCATAACCCCATTTATCAAAGCTGCTCTTGGAAGACACATCCTCCAAGAAAATTGTCCTTGATGTCTTCAGGACCAGCGGGACACATCCATTTCTACTCTGTACTTTTACACTCAGAGTTGACTCTACCCCTACTCACGGGGAAATTGCTAAAAGTCAGCAGCATCATATGCACTGATGGCCCCCTCAGGTCCTACAGCACAGCAGGGGCTCAGTATCCATGTGATTAAGGAGTGACTGAGCCCCAGACATGTGACACTAGACAGCAGGCTCCAGCTACAGTGACGGCTTGCTCATACTAGTTCTCTAGTCCCATCGCTGTCCCTTACCTCTTGGTCACTGCTCCTGCTGCTGTGAAAGATCAAGTCCCTAAACATGGCTGCCAGTTTGGAGAAATAGCCTGGCTGGTGGGGGCAAAGAAAGCCATGATTATGAGCAGGGTTGGAGCAGAAGGTTAGAAAATGTTGGGGCGAGGGGAGGGAAGAAGGATCACAGAGGAAGGTGGCAAATGAACATGAAGGGAACTTAGGAAACAGGATGCAGCCAGAAGAGGAGGTGCCAGGTTGCATGAGATGGATCACAAAATGACAGAAAGTCGCCCGCCACAACCCAGGAATTAAGCCCTCTCTGTCTATCCCTTGCCCTCCTCCACCTATGCTCAAATCCTTGGCCAGAACCCCAGGGCCACCCATAAGAACGAGCTTGCTCTGACTCCCTGGGCACTGGGATCAGATTTTACCTCACTGCCCACGGTTCGACGTTCTAACAGGAGGCGGAAACGGTTGCAGGTTCTCTTGTTGTCCTTGAGCCCTTGACCTAGTCCCCGGTTGTCATCCTGCATTAGCCGACGGTCTAAGATCACCTCCAGCTGGCCTGGGGAAGTTCACAGTGAGTCCACAGACTGCCATCCCAATCCCTAAGCAGACACTGGCCTAAGACAAGAATCCCAGCCCCAGGCCCTAAACCCAGTGAGGCAGACAAGAAGCTGAGTCATTCACAAACTAGGAGGGAGCTGAATGTGGGGCTGGTCCTGTGTCCTTGTTCTACAGATGAAGAAATAACAGGCCCCAAAAGGGACAGGCTGACCCTGGCCGCTCACTCTGTGAGTCAGGAGTCGGACCTAGGCTCAGGGGACCCAAGCAGGGAACCCTATTAAGACTGGCCACATGAAAAAAACAAACAGAAAACAGAGCAACACCATCTGTAGTGTGGCTGCAGATTCCCTCATTGGGGGCTGGTTTCTCAGACTGGGCAGTTCTGTTGTGACCAAAACCTGTTCTCCTACCCTTGCTCTACATGAGAACAGCTAGAAGGCCCAGCAGGCCAGACTTGGTCCTAACAGCCTTGTCTGTCAGAAGCTGGGTTGTACAGAGTCTGTGTAGGTCCAGTGCTCCTCATGCAGAGGTAGATCAGACAGGTTCAATGGGGCCTCTAGGCTGTCTTGGGGCAAAGAGATGGCAGATGACCACCTCAACTTTTTTTTTTTTTTTTTTGGTAGTACTAGGGATTAAACCCAAGGGTACTTTATCACTGAGCCCAGCCCATTTTTTTTACTTATGTTAAGTCTTGTTAAGTTGCCCAGGCTGGCCTGAAACTTGCCATCCTTCTGCCTCAGACTCCCAAAATGCTGGGATTATAGGCATGCAACACGGAGCAGGCTTCCCTCAGCTCTCCTGAGGGAAGGCCACACCAGCTTCTCACACAGAGATGGCCCTGCTTCCCTTTCACTTCCACAGCCCTGACTCTGACTTCTGTAGTCTTTTTACCATGAGCAATCACAGAAAGTCATCTCAAAACCCTAAAATGAATCCTTTGGATAGAAAACAATCATTTCTTAACACAAACCCAGCAGGGCAGAAGGAGATAATCAAGCAAGAACACTGAGCTGTAGTCAGGAATCATGAGGTGGAGCAGCTGGGGCAGAGGGCAGTGTAGCCACACTCGCTCGTAGGGGAAGAAGGCCCCACCCTTCCACCACGCCCACACACACAGCCTTGAACCCACAGCAATTCAGCCTTCACAAAGGCTCTGTCCCATAGAAGACTTCAAGGGCCAAATTTAATTTTCCCCTGAGGCTATGGGAGCCACCTGGAGCTCACCCAGCATGATCAGTGGCCAGCTCTGATTCCACACCAGTGCGCTTCATGCCTTGGTTTTTTTGGTTTTGTTTTTTCAATGCTGAGGATGAAACTCAGGGTCCAGCTTTGATTCTTTAAAGTGTCATCTTTTCTTCTATTGACCTTTAGCAGGTCATTAGAACGAGACAAATTTTTCTCCTTTTCTAAATATTTCACTATTAACATCAAGTATGCTTTTTAACTATCCATAATCTCATCTCTGGCCAGAATAAGGGTCACACATCTCATTAGAGAGTCACCATTTAATAACCTGATGCTTCTTGAGGGGACCTAACAGGACACCTGCCACTCAACGGCCACCCAGCTGCCTCCTCCAAGAGAGGAGAGAGCAATGCCTGCTTTCCTCCTATGGCCAGCTCTTGACGAGTGACAGAAGCTGAGGATGGCTCATCCCTCCTGCAAGCACAGAGGTGATGCAGACAAGAAAGACACTGAGAGAGGCCTACAGAGTGGAGACCCTCAAGGGTGTGATGAGCTGCTCCTCCCTGCCTCACACCCTCTGCAGAGCTCCTATTCTCCACTCACCATCCCTGAGGCTGGAGACGCCCAAGGCCTGAGCAGTGTGTAGTGTGAGGCGCTTCTGTGCATCCTGGATGTAGGCCATAACTGGCATGGGGTAGAAGTTAGCCTGCAGGGGCAGCTTCTTTAGATACCTCCGGGGCTGCACCTGTGGGGCCAAGGCCAGCAGGTCAAGGGCATCTAGGGACTCTTTGGGTCTTAAGGCATCCCCAGTCTGAAGGTGTCCCTGATTACTCTCACTTCCAGTTTCTTCTTTTACATCAGGGTAGACCACCCCCCATGTCCTGTGACGGAGGCCAAAAGCACAGTCCAGGTCTACTCTGATTAGGGCTCCAGCCCAGGAATCACCTGAAAGCCATTGAGGTCTGTGAAGAAGGTTCCCTGGCTGTCAATGTCTGTGTGGATGCGCAGGGCCAGCTCCTTGTTGACATAGTCCCGGATGTCCACCACGGATGACACATCCAGAGACAGCCCCTCTACCCCTGGCACAGGGAAAAAGGGGAGGGCATCAAGAGGAGTGAGGATAGGCCATGGATGAGAGCCTGGGCCAGGAAATCAAAGCTGAGCTGGGGAGAGGCTCTGCCCAACCCCCACCAAGCAATTCCCAGGGCATTTTTGAATGACCTTTTCTCTAAGAGAATTAAACATACCCGTCTTATGTGAAACACCTGTTGGGAGCAGATGTGTAAACAAAGGAGGGGCAGGAGGAGCAGCACATGAGCCCAGGGAGCCCACACTTCCTTTCCCACCCTTCCTTGTTCGCAGGACTCACCAGGCAGGTTATAAAGCCGGACCACCTGGTGAACATGCTCATAGTAGGCAACCACCTCTGAGTAGAAAGGGCCTTCGGTGACACGCAGCACAGGGGGGTCCTTGGGGGAATAGGGCTGGAGAAAGAGCAGGTGGCCACTGAGCCCACAGTGTGGAAAGAAAAGCAGGAGTTGGCAGCCCAGGGTTGGGCGAGATGTCTCATCTCATCAGGGTCTGGCCTAACCACCCCGGGACTGAGCTGCCCAACCCGCCAACCTCCTCCAGGCATCGAAGACAAGTCTTCCTGCATGAAGTGATCATCCTGAGGGATGCCTATACCCCTCTTCTGGCCCTCCCTGATAGTGAAAAATACCAAGGCCTGCCGGGTTTTGTGAGACAACTCTCAGGTACCTTGGCCTCGCCGTCAGGCAGGAAGAGGTAGGCTCCACTCTTGTCCTTGGATGTACGAGTGCCATAGATGAGGAATTCCATGTTCATCTGCTGGTCCTGCTCCTCATCCACCCTTCGTATGCTCTGCCAAAAAACACAGCCCTGACCCCTGGCCCCACACCAGCATGTCAGGCCTGCCCCCTGGAGGGCACGGACTAATTTCCCCACGGAGCCAAGCCCAGTGCTACAAGTTTGGATCTTAAGTGTCTCTCAAAGGTCTGTGTATTAAAGGCTTGTTCTCTGTTGTGGGGCTACTGGAGGGAAGCAGAAGCTTTAAGAAGTAGGGTCTAGTGGGAGATTTTAGGTCACTAGAGGCATGCCCTTAAGGGGGAGAGTGAGTTCACTCACTCAGAGCCATGAGTGAACAGCTCTGCTCTAAGCTCCCCACCTGATGTTGCTGCCTCACCATAGGCCCAAAAAGCAGTGGTTCCACTCCTTTGAACTGTCCTAGAACCACAAGCCAAAGTAAACCTTTTTGCTTTGTAAGTTGATTACCTCAGATACTTGTGCATATTTTTTTTCCTTTTTTGTTTTTCATTTTGTGGTGCTGGAGATCAAACCCAGGATCTCGTGCATGCTAGGCAGGTGCTCTAGCACTGAGCTATGTCCCCAGCTATCTCAGGTATTTGTCACAGTAACAAAAGGCTAACATACCTAGCTTCCTCATGTTGTCAGCTTGGAGCAAAGATGGCCCATACCCAAGTCACTGTCAGGTGGCAGCAGCACTTGGGGTAGGAAAGCAGCTCTGCCCAACCCCACTGGCATGCACACCCTTTCCCACCACCCCTGGCCCTTTACCTTTGGGAGCCCAGTAAGGCCTGAGAACCAGACCTGCATGTAGCGGTTGCTGAGGGCAAAGTCACTGGATCCTGAGTCAATGACATGGAGAGGAAATGCATCATGCCTGCTCACAGAGAGCTGCCGGCCATGCAAGTAGACTCGCACAGAGGAGGGCAGTGTGCGGTGCCCATCCAGGCCCAGCTGTAGCTGCAGCACACCCAGGCCCAGGGCTGGCAGACGGATGGGCACAGATACCTGTGAGCACAGGAAGGGTGAGGAGGCATAGGCCATGGCCAAGGATCAATTCCAGATCCAGGAAGGGGAATTCTGGGGTACTGGGACATTTGCTTCCTAATAGTCTGAGCAAGCAACTACCCTGCAGGAGCCCTATCCCCTTCTCTGAAAATACTCCTTCTTGTCAGACTTAATCAGTCTCAAATGATACTTAAAAACTATAAAGTGGTAACCACACATTAAGCCTTCAACAAATATCTGTTGTGCTGTGACACATGCCTGTCATCCCAGCACTTGGGAGACAGAGGCAGGCAGATCACTTGAGCCCAGGAATTCAAGACCAGCCAGGGCAACAGAGCAAGACTCATAAATAAACAGACAGATACATAGATAAATATTTGCTGAATTAATGGATGAATGAAGAGGCCATTTTTATTATTACCATATCATCCTTCACTTTCCTTTCAAGGACAGAATCAAATCCTAAGAGTGACTAATCCTCTGGACAAGCCCTCTCCCAGACACCCATCCCCAGCCTGAGAAGTGAGAAAGGCACAGCAGAGAGGCAGGAACTAGATGTCCATGGGAGGGTAAGGCCCTGGCAAGAGGATACTGATTAGCAGAGGGGGCCAAAGCAAGGGCCCACCTGCCAAGCTCCTGCCTTACCTGGTAGACATCGGGGACCATGTCTGTGGTAGATCTCCAGTGTGCACTGATCTGCACAGCCAGGGGCTGACCCTCCTCTGAAAGAACACGCACACGGGGTGAGTTGACCAACAGGGACACCACACTGAGCCGCTCCTGTTCCAGTGGGTTGAACAGCACCACAAACCTGTGGGTAGAGGGTGGGCTGAGCCAAGGGGCTGTTGCCACCAGCAGCATGGCAGGAACAGCAGCCAGGACAGAACCCTGCAGTGGGTCAGCAAGTACAGAGGTGGAAAGGCACTGGAAGCCAGGGAGTGGCTTTGCCCCTCGGCCCCTGGCCTGATCTGGCTCACCTGGGTGAGGAATCCAGCTGGATCACTGTACGCTCTGGCAGGGCATCATGATTTAAGCGGGTGTCATCCTGGAATTAAGTGGGTAAACGGGGAAAAAACATCAAGGGGCTTGGCCAGCCTGTCCTGGACGTGGACCACCCACTGTCTAGGACACAGAAATCTCACCCCCAGACAGGAAAGGAAGAAAGAGTAACACACCCGAAATGACAGTTGTTGGGATGGCACCCCCGCATGCTGGAGGGTCCATGCAGATCCAGGAGGGGGCTCACCATTTGGAGGAAGGGTGCCTCAGGGTCAAAGTGGTAGGTATCCTTGTCCCCTAGCACCAGATAATGAGCTGCATTGATGATAACCTGCTTCAGGCCAATGAGGGAGCGCAGGAGCCTGTGGCAGGGTAGGAGAGGAGACAGGGAGGAGATGACCAAAGGGAGGCAGCCTGCCCGCTGACCACCCTGCACATCCTCTTCTTGGGATGGTGGGTGGGTGGGTGAGAGGAGACAGCTCCTACCTGACACCATAGTCCACCACCACTGCCTCCTTGGCAGTTCCAGTGATGGCATCATGGTGCTGAAAGAGCCCCAGTGTGCGCCGAGCTTCCGTCAGGAGGGTGAAGTCAGACAGTGGGTACCGGCTGGCTAGTCCAGAGCGGCGGGCGTGGGCCACAGCCAGGCTGTACAGAATCTCTGCCCCCCTAGTCCAAGAGAAGAGTCAGCTGCCTGCCCACTCCACTCTGAGGGGCCATCCACATTCATTCCCTTTCCTTTCCCAACACTTCTCTTAAGCCTTGGCCTCTTGCCAAGCCAACTCTACTCCCCCAGCCTGCAAGGGAGTGGGGTCTCACCGAAGGTGGGCTTCTAGGACTCGGTCCAGACTCTTGTAGAAAGGTCTGGAAGTATAATAGCCTGTCCAGTAATGGTCCTCACGGTCCGCGTAGGAGAAGAAATCCCCGCTTAGCACAGGAAACCCTGGGGGCCGGGCCCCTGGTTCCACGCCTGTCCTCTTGTATAGAGCGTCAAAATAGTCAGAGAGGGTGCCAAACTGGGCCTGTGGGAACCCAAAAAATGAGCTCTCATGAGTTCCAGAGCCTCCTGGAATTCTGGTCACCAGTGCTGCAGCTGTGGAGGTCCACCTCAGCAGAGGGCATACCTTCTGGACCTAAAATAAAAGCTGGGGAGCAAGAAGTGAATTTTGACATAAAAGGGGAACCCTTGCTTTGGAGTAGCTAACGGGGATAGTCAGAGGAAAGCCCCCCTCCCTCAGCAATGCACCACCCCACACCTGCACGTGGAGTTCAGGCTTGCTGTTGAGGAAGTCAAAGAGCCGCTGGTAGTTGAAAAACTGGGCATCCCATTCCTGGGGCTTGTCATATCGGAAGTCATCGCCCAGTGGCACCAAGAGGACATTGCTTCGGAAGAGCCGAGACTTCTTCCTGTACTGGTCTAGGAGCAGGGCTGCCCTGAAGCAGGAAAGGACACAGGTTCCATATGAAGTCTCAGGGCTAAGAGATCTCCAAGCAGAGTCACCTCAAGAGTCAGCCCACTTTGAAACACCACTATGGAGTTGTTGTTCAGCCTGCAGATAGACACTTCCTGAGACAGGAAGCCCAGTCCCAGTGTTCTCTGGGACATTTCTGAGAACAGAAGAGTTCTTATCCTAGGCTGCAGTTGATGGCTTCAATTCCCTGATTCCACTTACGCCCTGTGACACAAGACAAATCAGTCCTTCCCCACGATTATCCTTCAGATACATCAAAGATGTGCTCATGCCCCTCGAGCTGTCAATTTGGTTCCTGGAGAACAATTTAGAATCTGCTCACCAGCAGTTCTCTGGCCAGTGACCTGAGTCAGGGCCCAGCACCTCATATGGAGGTCCACAGAGGGCAGACCCACTAGAGGAAGGCAGAACCACCCTCTTCAGCCAGGTCAGGACCCCAGAGAGCAGTGTGCAGAAAACTTCACTATCACCATGCTGATGGTCAGTTTCCATAGTTCTAAGTATGTAGGTTTTTTTCCTTTACCTGAACTCACATGTTCTGTCTTCTGAAGCTAAGATGGAATCCTACATTTCTACCTGTTAAACCCTATCTGTCTTTTGGGAATCCCAGTTCTGAAGCTCCAGTGAACAATGCAGCACAGTACTATGGTGAAGAACCCAGACTCTGGAGCCAGATTTTGCTAGCTGAGTGACCTTAGGCAAGTAACTTAACCTCTTAGGGCTTCAGTTTCTGGAAAAATGAGGAAAACATCAGTATCATTACTGACACTGATGTCATTAACCCCCATGATGTTATGAGAATTAAAATTAATTGAATGAATTAATATTTAAGCAAGCATTTCAAATAGTGCCTGGCACATGGGAGGAACCATATACAAACATTTGCGTGTGTTTTTTCATCCATAGTATGGTTAAAATCAATAGAAAAATAGTGCCCCATAGCATATCATTGGAAAATCCTTTCTGTATTCAGACCAACCTGTTAAATGACATGTTATGGATATCACAGTCCTAGCAGTCACTAATCTAACTTAACAGGACAAGACCAGCTTTTTCTGTTCTATTTGGTTCTTAAAGAAAGGACTCCTCAAAGACCAACTACCCCTGATTTATCAGCTTAGCAAGCCCTTCAAAGGAAGAAATGTGGTTTTGTCTCCTGGCCTGTTCTCTGTGAACTGGGGTCAGAAACACAGATTGTCACTGCTGCTTTAGGAAAAACCACACCTACTTAATAGACCTATATTCCTGCCAGCAATCAGCATTTAGATTCCTGGAAACAAAAGACCATTTTCTTTCTCCTTTGGTCATAGGCCTCATCTCTTGTACATCATAGAAATCACAGCATTGCAACATAAAAACCAGTTCAACTTGTTATATTCTTGTTTTTTTTTTTTGTTGTTTTTTGTTTTTTTGTGATGCTGGGACTCCAACCCAGGCCCTCACAAATGCTACCACTAAGCTACTCCCACAATCTTCAAATTTTTTATATTCTGGTGTTTTTTTTTTTTAGTGGAATCCAGGGGCACTTTACCACTGAGCTATATCCCCCACCCTTTTTGAGACAAGGGTCTTGCTCAATTGCCCAGGCTGGCCTTGAACTTCAGTCTTTCTGCATCAGTTTCTTGAGTCACTGGGATTACGGGCATGTACAACCACGCCCAGCAATGGCTCATTATTTTCTGAAGGTTTTCACTGAATCACTGTTTAGATCATGTTTAATCAACACTTTCTTAGTGGATTTCAGCCACTTTCCTAGTGCTGATTTCAGCCACAGTGATATCTTTGAGAGTCCGCAATTCTTTTCTCACAGGGACAAGTCTGTTTCCTCAGGGGGACTGAATACAGATCTGAATGGAATTCAGGTCCACTGAACACAGATCTTGGCTGACTTTGAGCCAAGTTAGAATATCTGAGCTAAATGAAGGCACATTTGCCTCAAGTTTGTAAGAAATTGTACCAGTTTAATAATCATTCATCTGAGGCAGTCAACTGGCTCTGACAGCTTGCTGGGACACCAGAAAACATACTTCTTGGGGAAAATAAAAGTGTTCTGTAAAAGGCAGTTCCTTAGCACATTCTAGTTTTCTAGGAAGACTTCACAGCCACCACTGCAAATGCTGCAGGCCTGAACCCACTCTGAGCCCATACTCCATTTTCCAGATACCACCTGCACCATGCAGTCCCCGGACTCAGCAGAGCATGGCCAGGTCTCCTGACTCCTCTACGGAGCAAAAATGCTAACCCCATGCCCAGGCCAGAGCTGGAAACAGATACCTTTCTGCCACATTGGCCTCTGTGATGGCCCGGGGTGGCACTTTCCAAGGGCAGTTGATGCGTCCACCGGGCAGGCGTTTGAAATCAAACTGGCAGCAGATCTTGGGATCTGGGCCACAGGTATGAGGGACATCATAGCTGTAGAAGGGCATCATGTGGCAAAAGATGTCTGTGCTGGAATCCGAGTCTGCAGAAGACACATCACGTGGTCAACCAATGGCAAACAGCCTCAGGAATTGGGCATAGGGACTCCAGGAAGGCATGGATCTGCATAAGCTAAAGGTCGCCTGACAGGAGGGTCCAACTGGATTTAGGCTGTACACGACATACAGGACAGGGGACAGGATATGTGGGGCTCCAGGGCCCACAGGTCCTGTAGGGGAAGTCCTTGCACAGACAGCAGCCCTGTAGAAGCCACAGGTCAATGTGACCCTCCCCTAGCTTAAAGGAGAGATAGCTTCTGCCAGTCTTCCCTGAGAAGTGGAGTCTTATTTCTGACATCCCTGATCTTCCCCCCAGGGAAGTCTATGCTGCTTGGACCCCCTCTACCCTACCTGGCCTTACCCCAAGTCTGTCTCCACATGAACTCCAAGCTGTGGGTGGCAGCAAAGTGCTTCTTAATGGCATAATGTACCCTCTGGATCAACATGCTGGTCAGGTTGGCACGGCGCAGCAGGTAAGGCATGGTGGAGCTGTGTCCAAATGGGTCCACTGCCCAGCCAGAGCGTGGGGTTGCACCTAGGCAGGGTATGTAACCAGAGGCTCTGAACACCTCAGGGCCTGGCCTCTGGGCTCCCAGGTCCTAAGATCTCAGCTCTTGCCTTGCAGGGAGAAGATGCCATATGGACAGGCCCATGTTAACCTTGAGAAGAACTACCCCCTGACAATCCCTGTGCCTTACAGCATCATGTCACAGCACTCTGGGCCAAGCTATGGGGCCAGAACCCCACTTATGGGCCTGGACTTACCAAGGTTTCTCTCCAGCCACTGGTGTCCCTCAATGAGCTGGTCAATCAATGCAAAGTAGTGGGAGTTGGCCTCATCTGGCATCACCCAGCCTCCTGTTGCAATCTCTAGCTGCCCATTTCCCACCAGCCTGAAGGTAAAGATGCATACTTAGCATGGGGTGGGGATGCTTGCCCAGTCCTGCCAACCAGAAGATGATGCTAGTGCCTGCATGTTCTGGCCCTACTAGGCTGGTTCACTCAAATCCAAGACTAAGAGAACACACACTTGCCCTCCTTTCCCTCCAGTCCAACCCCATGTTGTCCTGGCCCTGCTTATCTTGGGACTTTTGGGGGAAGGCCCCATGTTTCTTCTTCACTTATACTCAGACAACTCTGATATCTAACACTAGTGGCCCTCAAACCGTTGTTCCTCATTTCTGCCCCAGCTCCCTGTGTCTCTTCTTGCCACCTCAGCACCCACAGTATGAGACGAGACCTAGCCATTCAGCTCAGGCCCTCCAACGCCTCCCTAACTGCTACTGGCCTTCGGACTGCTGCTCTCTTTTGGGCATTGATGTTGTCCCACCACTTGGCAAAGAAGGAGACTTCTGCCCAGAGGAAGCGCCGCCGGGAGTCCTCCTGTAGCTTGGATACCATGCTGTTGAGGATGTGTTGGGTCTGCTCTGTGTAGTACTTGTCAAAGGTCTTGATCCAGCCTGGGGAGCCAACAGAGTCTCCTGAAGATACCACCTTCTTCAATGATGCCATCTGCCCCTTCCTTACGTTTGCCATGAGAAAGCCCACTCCACACCCCCTCTTCTATGCCTACTAGACCTTCACCTGGGTCATTGTGTGAGTGGGGCACCACAAACACCTGCAGGTCTTCAGTATCCCAGTCATGTGGGCTGTAGGAGATGTCAAAGCCTTGCCTCCAAACGCCGCCCTCCACATTGTCAAATGGCAACTCTTCTGACACAGTTAGCATCTGCCAGGCAGGAAGGCAGTTCAGTGTCCCATCTGTGGTCACTGCAAGTCCCTGCCAGCTCTGATTCTTACCTGTAGCTCTGGCTTCTGGCCCCGGTCCTCCAAAGCAAACTGGCAATCCTGGGGGGAGATGGAGAAGAAGCTGGGCCGGGGCTCCGGGGGCACCACCCAGGATCCATTGGCTGTGTGGTAGGGCAGCAGAGCAGGTGGGCCTTCTGCATTGGCTGTCAGCTCCAGCACAGAGTCCTTGATGTGGCTGATAATTTCATGGTTCTCCTCCAACAGCTGCTCCAGCTGCTCAATGCGATTCTGCAGCACAGAAATTTGGCTCTGCCAGAAAAGCAAAAAACAATCACCCACAGCTCCTTATGCCATAGGGAAGGTCTCTGCTTAGTGTCTACCACCTGAGGCCTGACTATGAGCCCACTCTCCTCAATCAAAGCTAGACTGCAAGCCTACATGGATGGAAAGTTCTGGGAACCTCTCTACTAAGGACTAAGATCCATTTGGGTTAGAAGTTCTGTCACTTTCTAGCTCACAGATGGTAAAGGTTTCCTCTCACATGCCAATGCTCAATGATCAGTATTGCTTTTTGGAGCATGGAGCTGAGGATTGCACTGGGACTTAATGGGAAAAAATGCTGCAATCAATCAGCAACGTCTGCCAAAAATTCAGGAGGACACTTCATTTTTTTTTTCTTCATTCTTTTTGTCATCACTATTTTTTGCTTCCTATTGGGGCTGGGATGTAGCTAAGTGATAAGTGTGCATGTTTAGCAAGCACAAGGCCTTAGGTTCAATCTCCAGCATAAAACAAAAACGAAAACAAAACAAAAACTTGCCTATTGAAAAGTAATGTTCCTGTCCTGGGCTGACATAACTCTCCAGTCCAGGTGACAACCTGAACTCAGGTGATTTGTATATGAAGAGATTAGCAACCAGGCTTACTCACCCGTGGGAAGTTTCCACCATTCTGGTGTCGGGTGGGATCATGCTGTACTCTGTCCAGCATGAGGTACAGCGAAAAGACTGCCACGCAGAAGATAGCAGCCCCACACACTGTCACCTGCTTTTTCAGCTTCATACTGGCCTCCACACACCCCTAGCAGGAGAGACACCATCTGTAGCTCTGGCATGTAAAATCCCTTTGGTATCTTCCCACCAAATAGTTCCCAAGGGCTGTTCCCAAGGAACACCTATTTACCTGGCTCCAATAAAAAGCTAACTCCTAAGCACAAGATCCCAACATTAGTTAAGTATCCTGACCCAACCCTGATTTTATTCTCTTGCTTCAGATTCCAAAAGCACAAGCAGCACATCTGGGACTGGTCCTGTCTGGTCCTGGAAACAGCTCTACCCCTAAGGTAGGATGATGCCCCCTCTCAGCTGATGATGTAAAATAGGTTCAAGAAAACAGAGTCCCACCTCTAGCCCCACATTTCACTACACAAATTCCTAATTGCAATCAGCTTTCCCCTGGGGCCTGCCCACAGGTGGAGCCTGTACAGGTTCCTTGGCCTTGTGCTTCTCCTTTCTAAGGAATAAACTGGTCTCTGATTTAAAGGTATAGCCAGAGGCCAAGAGGCAAAAAAGCCTTTCCACCAATCCTCTTGGATCAGACTGCCACTTAGCAAAAACAGTCTTTCGCACAGATCCTCAGTAAAAATAGTGAATGAATTTCTTTATAGAAAAGATGATGCTTCTGTTTCCAACATAAAGCTAGTCCTCTCTGTTCTTTCCGTTAGTACTAATTCCTGTAGTGCAAAACTTTCAGTCCTGGCTTATAGAAGCTGTACGGGATCCCTGGGAAGCCAGCAAGATGCTGAAAGTCCCCTAGGTAGGGAGAGGCATAGCAGCTAGGCTGTGGGACAACTTCTGAGGACCGGAACAGCTGCCACCGCGGCTGGCCCCTACTTGCCTGGCAGGCGGAGGGAGGGCTCTAGCTGCCCACTCGGGCGTGGGCGGGACCACGCTCCCGAGACTTCTCCGGGCGCCCTGGGGCAAAGGAGCTCTGTTGCCTCTGCGTTGTGCCCTACTTAGCGCGATCTGATTCCTCTCAGGAGCCTCTGGGCAATTATTTTTAGCCCCTGGAGTCAAGGTCCAGGCCAAAGTGGGTGGAGCTGGAGGAAGAGAGTTGGATCACAGGAGGGCTAGCACCTGCCGCCGGGTCTTCTTCAGCGCGCCCAGCCCCCTCCCGGGCCTCCCGGACTCTGCCCGCGCAGGAGACCGGAACGTCAGCTGCTTGGGCCGGGCCTTCCGCCCGGACCGACCTCTCAGCGCAGCGCTGTCTCTTAGCGCTCTAGTCGTCCAAGCCCGGCTGAGGCCGAATCAATTGGAACCCTCCCCCGCATCCGCTCGGCCCATTACCGTCTGCAGCTGGCCTCCGCGGCGCTCGGGACCCCGCCGGCCAAGCCGCGATCCCTCACATCCCTGGGGAAGGCGATCCCGCTCAGGCAGCGACGCAGGCGAAAGGCGGACTCCCGCCCACGGTTTCAAGCGCCGCAGCCGCGCTCCCGTGGGGGCCAAGGCCGCCAGCGCGCTCCGGTGCGCCCGCGCCGGTCCGCCAGCCTCTAGCGGCCACCCGGCCGAGCAGCGTGCGGGGCGGGGACACACGCGCCGCGTCCCCGCGTGCCCCGCCCCGCCAGGCCCTACCGCCTCCTAAGTGAGCCCCGCAGCCCCCGCCCTGCTCCAGCGGCGCTGCTTGTCCGGTTTGGGCCCGGCTGCCCGAGCTGCGGGCGCCAAGAATCCAGGTGCCGGCGCCGGGGCCGCACTGCGCAGCCGCAGCCCGAGACCGGCCTTAGCGCGCTGCGGAACCTGAGCTGGGGCGCGCAACTTTGTTTTTTTTATGAATCTTCCTAGAGTAAGCACATTTCACCAAACAGTTGCAGAAAATTCCAGCTCCTTTTCACCAGCCAGTAGTGGAGTGCGTTTTCCTCAGTCCGCCTTGATCAACTCTAGATAGTCTGTTTTCTGAAGTTACCTTCGCAGGCAAAGGGGTGCTGCCTTCTGTAGGTATTCCTTTCCGTGCCACCCAGTAAGACACTCCCCCACCTTTTATCTCTCTCCCCATTTTTGTACTGGAGATTGAACCCAGGGGCATTTTACTACTGGTCTACATCTCAAGCCCCTTTACACATTTTAAAATTTTTGAGGAGGGTGTGTGTGTGTGATGGGGGCACATCTCACTAAGATGCCCTGGCTGACCTTGAATTTGAGATTCTCCTGCCTTGGCTTCCCAAGTAGCTAGGATTATAGGCATATGCCACCACGCCTGTCTCAAATCCTTTCTATTTATTTGAAGCAACATCAGGTAACAGTGACCATCACTCTGATTCAGCAGGATCATCAGGCTCACTTGGAAGACCATAGTCAGGCTCCCCATTCTAGAATTATTCCAGATGCCACTGGGTATGGACATTAGCATCACCTGGCTTTCCCTCTAAGTTCAGAAGCTAGTCCACCTTTTCTAGTTCATTAAGCCAAGTGTGGCAAGAGATGTTGGCAACCACATAGATGCCGCCCTGAATGACCAGCATGATGCCCAGGGCAAGATGGCTGTCTACCACTTTTCATGCTATAGAGTATACTCTTACTCTAGTGTTTGACAGGGTAGTGAGAGAAGCACCTGGTTAGAATTTCCAACCCTCCCAGCTCTCCTTTGCCTACATAGGTTCCAGTAGCCTAATCTGCTGAAGGCAGGCATGAGAGGGAAAATGGAAAAGTGAGAAATATGTGATTTGGGTCTCTTACAACCAATTGGGGTCTCTTCTCCCCATCCCAGCCTTTAAGCTGAACATTTTATTTAATAAGAACTACCCATCCTGGAAATTGCCACAGTGAGAATAGACATTGCCTGGCTGGGTGTGGTGGCCCATCCTGTAATCCTAGCAACTCTGGGGGATGAGGCAGGAAGATCACAAGTTCCAGGCCAGCCTGGGCAATTTAGTGAGACCCTGTCTTCATGTTTAAATTTGTGTGTGTGTGTGTGTGTGTGTGTGTTCATTCCAGGGATTGAACCCAGGGGTGCTAAACCTCTGAGCTACATCTCCAACCTTTTTATTTTTTATTTTGAGACAGGATCTCACTAAGTTGCTTAGGGCCTCTCTTAGTTGCTGAGGCTGGCCTTGAACTTGTGATCCTCCTGCCTCAGCCCCACCACCCCCTGCCCCATGCTGCTGGGATTACAAGCATGTGCCAGCACCCTCAGCTTGAAATTTTTATAAAAGGGCTGGGAATGTAGCTCAGTGGTTCAATCTCCAGCACAGGGTGGGGAGGAACATGAAAAAAAAAAAAAAGAATACAAACTACCTTCTTTATGTGTGTATGCTCCCTTGGGAGTTGAGCTTTAGTTGTCCTTTTATCTTTTTTAGTTGATCTTTTAAGAAATTCAATCTATGTTTTATCTGGGTGCAGTAGTGCATACCTGTAATCCCAGCAATTTAGGAGGCTGAGGTGAGTGAAATACAAAGGCCAGTCTGGGCAATTTAGTAAGAGCCCCATCTTAAAACAGAAAGTAAAAAAGGGCTGGAGATTTACTCAATGGTAGAATGTTGGTGGGATTGATGCCCAGTACCCCCACTGCCAATCCATTTTGTGTTTTGCTGATGCTGCTACCTGTCAGTGACACAGGGCATAAAATGTCCATCAGTGTCCCAAGTGGTTCCCCATTGCTGGGTACTCTTGGTTATAAAGGCAGGCAGCTTCCTTGCCTAATTGGATGTGTCTGAAGAATACAAATATGTGACATTGTCTACTTAGGACTCCAAACAATATGGCCTACATCCACAGTGCATAATGGGAATTACTGTGCCATACCTGGAAAACCCTATATGTTGCAATCAACATCCAGTGGTACCCTCAAGGTGGAAGTAGGTGGCCCATCTAGTCTATTTGTCAGGGCCAGAGAAGTAACCAGACTATGTGCTCTGGAGTTCTCTTTGCCACTCAACTGTATAGAGTATCTAGGCACATTAGCAGGACTTCTTTGGCTTCACGTTCTGGGATCACAAGTGCTTATTTTGGCCCTAGCCATAGACAAAATATCATATCCTATGTGATAGTGGCTGTAGCTTCTACTTGAGAGATCTCGCCAGCTGGTTGCTTCCATTGATATTCATAACAAAGGGTCCTTTTTCCATGGGCATCTCTCTTGGACGTGTGTCCCACTCAATCTATTGCCAGAGTGTCTCCAACTTCTATAGGAGTTGGGACTTAACCAGTTATACTGCTTCCAGGCTAGCCCATTGGCTATTGCTCATGAGTCAGTGAAACCATAGTGAGGTTCACCGTGAGAGGTGTTTCCCATACCAAGCACCACAGTCTAAATCTCTGCCTATTGGGTAGAATTCCCTTTTCCATGCAAATTTTTAAACTGTTATTTCTGTGGCTGCACAGCAGCAGCTGTTTTGTACATTAACTGGGCTGTCAGTTCTTAAGTCATGTCCAGGTTCTCAGGAGACTCAATGTACTTCGGACCCAAGAAACCCAAGATACTGGCAGTCTTTGGTCTTTGTCTCAGGGTTAGCCACACCTTTGCCTTTTTTTTTTTTAACTCGGGAGCACTCCACCACTGGTCACATCTCCAGCCCTATTTTGTATTTTATTTAGATAGGGTCTCACTGAGTTGCTTGGTGCTTCACAGTAACTGAGACTGGCTTTGAACTCATGATCCTCCTGTCTCAGCTTTCCAAGATGCTGGGATTATAGGCCTGTGCCTTTTCACATGGCCTGGCCTCTTTTTATGGAGGAAAGAGATTCCACAGATGCCTGGTTCATTCTTTTCTTGGAACACTTCCTCTTTAATGAATAATGCTTGGTAAGCAATCTGGCATTGTGGCACACCCTTGGGAGGCTGAGGCAGGATGATCCAAGGTTGAGGCCAGCCTGGGCAATTTAGCAAGACCCTGTCTCAAAATAAATAAATTAATTAAAAGGGCTGGTTTATCAGACAAGTGCCATGTGTCCTAAAACCCACAGATGCCTTTGCCTCTGGGTGATGTCCTTCTTCCATGGGTTCTAGTCTGTGTAGTTGTCAGTCATTGACACTTTTCATCCAAAAGCCTAGTGTTCAGGGCACCACTCATAGGTGGTACCTTTTGGGTAACCTTGTGTAGTGGGCTGAATACATCCTGTTGATAAAACCGTCTCTCATGCTCAGACATGCCCATTGGATGTTTTACCTCCTTTGGTTTGCTGGAAGTTTTAAGGCCAGTTGTTTTGTTCTTTTTCTTTTCCTTTTTTTTTCTGTGACAGGCTTGGGAATTGTCCTCTGGGTATGGGTCCACATGGTGCCCAAGAACTTACATGTCTGGCCTCTGTATCAGGTTAATTTTTCAGCTTTGGTCAACCCATCCAATCTAAGGAAGTTTGTACAAGTTAATTCTCTAACTGGATGATGTTATCAACATAGTCATACTAATATACTTCTGATGGGATCTCAGGCTTCTCTATGTCTGGCCAGCTGGCCTATCCATTGGTGGCAAATCATAGGGGAATGCAGGTACCTCTGTGGCAATACTATAAAGATGCATTGTCGGGCTAGGGTTGTGGTAGAGTGCCTGGCACCTGCAAGGCAATGGGTTTGATTCTCAGCACCACATAAAAATAAACGAAGCATACAATTCGATGTTTTTTTTAAAAAAAGATGTGGGATGGAGTTGTGGCCCAGTGGGAGAGTGCTCACCTAGCACATATGAGGCACTGGATTCGATCCTCAGCACCACATAAAAATGAGAAAAGATATTGTGTGTCCACCTACAACTAAAAGAATATTTTTAAAAAAATAACTTATTAAAAAAGATGCATTGTCACTCAAGCCAATGAGGGTAAAGTAGTTTTCATCTTCCACATGCATTGGAAAGATCAAAAAGGCATTAGTAGGAGCTGGGATTGTGGCTCAGTGGTAAAGCACTTGCTGGGCATGTGTGAGGCCCTGGATTCAATTCCAAGCACCACATATAAATAAATAAATAAATACAATAAAGGTCCATTAACAACTAAAAAAATATTTTAAAAAAACCCAAAAAGGTATGTAAATCAATGGATGTGTAACTGATGTGATTCTGCAATCTGTGTATGGGGTGAAGGTGGGAGTTCATAACCCACTTGAATCAAAGTGTGGAATATGATATGTCAAGAAATTTGT